CATTTTTCACTTTCATGCATAAGAGAACAAGAGACAATAACTTTTCTTTTTTTCTTGCTTACTGGCATCCTTGGGGGTCTATAGAGATGCTTCCCTACTCGTAAACATAATATCCATTTTTTACAATTAACTGGCCGTCCCCATACCTTGTCCGGTAATGGGTGCCAAACATTCCACCGCCTTGATATCCCGTCCGGTATGAGGGTGAACCATATCTCCCAAACCTTTTCGGTAAGGAACTTCCCAACCCCGTTCAACTGAGGTAATCTTCACAGTAGGATTCCTTATGTACTGGGCTCGTCCGCTCTTTTCTTAGATAACCAACAAGTCTTTCACATACAGATTTTAATCAACAAACAACCAACAAATGCATATCAACATCTCATATCACATTCACATATCAATTAAACTACATTCATACTGACAATATATAACCAAAATAACTAGATAAGTCAATAAGACCTTTGAAACTTTAAATTAAGAACATGTACTATATGAAAATCAAGTAAGTAAGACAGTACATAAAAATAAACAAAAAATCAAGATAATTGTTAACTAACCGGTTCTGCTTCTATTGGTAACCTATAATTATTTTTTAAAAATTTTTATTTTTCATAAAAATACAAAATTATACATCGTTAAACCCAAATTTTTCGTAAGAATAATAGGGTGAGTGATCTTTACTCAGATCGGTGTTTCAAGACGTCGTGCTGTCTACCACATCTCCTAACGGGCACCAAGTTCCCTGAATTTTTCATTTGAAATTAAAAACACTCTTACGTACCTAAAAATACTCTAAAAATCTAAAATTGGTGTCCAAAACTCTTTTCAACCAATTTGGGAGTTCCGGTACAGTGCTAGCTTTGCCACCCACGGCGGCGGTCTGCATTGGATAGGCCGATTTTAGCTGGCTTTACACATATGCCTACGGAAAAATATGTTAAGGAGCCTCAGTTAGCCGAAAAATCACCAAAAACACTAAACCTACCGGTGGGGGGTCACCGGGTGCCGCGGCTTCGCCAGTCCTTCTTCGCGGCTGAGATTCCTTCTTCGACTAACCTGCACAGAAAAGAACGATGAATACAATAATCAAAAAATCGCGTGAAATGAGATTCGGGAAGGGGCTCACCGGAGGGATTTTAGGGTTTTGGCTGCGGCGGCTCTGGCAGGTTTTGCTCGCAATTTCTGGCTCACCTACCGTCCTTCTTGCTCTGATTTGGCCACAAAGATGCTCGAAATTGAATTCCAAGCAGGTAGGGGAAACTTTTACCTTTCTTGGCGGCTAGCGGTGGCTCCGGTGAATCAACAGTCGTCAGTCGGCCTCTTTCTTTGGTGCCTGGTTCTTCTTCTCCGGTGGGGGCTAGAGGCTAGAGTTTGGGTTTTCATGTGATGCGAAGTATTTATACCTATTCTGCGTTGATCTAGGCCATCTATCGCGATTGATCTCGTTCGTCCGATCGCACCTAAAGAGAAAATGAATCTAGATCGTCTATTGTGATTGATCTCGACCATCCAATCACGTCTAAGGGAAAAATAAATCCGGATCGTCCACGCGCACAAAATCGATCATGGGTCGTTCGATCGTGGAGCACGCGGATTATCCGCGTGGTACCGACGCCAGCGTGCCTTGCCACGTAGTGTGCTCCGATTCGTCGAGACTGCTGACTGGACGTCCTATGTGGCCAAATTTTTTCTATTTGTATTTTAACCCCATATTTCTAATTTTTATTTCAAAAACACTATTCGAATTCAAAATTTCACATTTTTTTTCCAAAATTACTTTCAATTACATGGCTACCTATATTTTTTTTTTCAATAATTTAGTAAAACTAAATAAAATTAATTTATAATTATTTTTTTTAAAAAAAATATCAAAATTGATTTCGGTCCTGATATTACAAGTCCAATCTTTCATGAGTTAAATCTTGATTGAAAAAAATAAAATTAGAATTTATGAATATGTTTTCTCATCTTCTTCTTGGTATGATTTTGTTCAAAATATTTTAGATGAATTTAATTGTTAATGAGTCACCTGGTCTTTTTGACTTTTTTGTTGTACCAAGATGGTGCTTCTCATGATTAATCAACATTTTATGATATATATACTTATATATGTATGTATTTATAAGAGAATGGTGTTTTCTCTTAAAAAAGTTACAATATATTTAAATAATACTGTAACGCCCAGAAAATTGGGCAATTTTGTTATTTTATCATGAATTTTATTTATTAAGTTTAATTTAAAAAAAAAAGCGCCACATCAGCAGCCACGTCAGCGGCCCAGTCAGCTGCCCTGGCCAACCAGGACCTGCCGCGTGGCAAGACCACGTCGACCCGGGGACGGGCCATGTTGGCGATCCGCGTGCGCGCGATCGGACGGCCCAAATGCGTCCCCGCGCGCACGGACGGCCCAGATGCAATTGCACGGACGGCCAGATTCAATCAAAAACGGACGGCCCAAATTAAATCAAAATGGACGGATGAGATCAAAAGGCAAAAGGTTATAAATAGAACCCCCATACCTGACCACAAAAACCCTAGCCGCCTGCCCTCGCCGGAGAAGACGAACCAGACGTCGGAGGAGCCCGCCGCCGCCACCCGCCGCCGCACCGGGGAGATTTCCGACTGCCGATCGAGGTAAATTTCATACTCCCGACTCGTTTTTCCACGCTGAATTCCCCTGTGGCCAAATCGAAGCCAAAATCCCGGCCAAACTGCCGAAAAACACAGCCGAAACCCAGCGGCGCCGCCGCGCCCCTCCTCGATTTTTGCCTCCGATGAGGCCCTTTCCGGCCTCCGTTTGATGCAATTTTTATATCACCGTGATCACCATTCTTTTCTCTACAGGTTGATCGAAGCCGAATCACCAAAACACGGACCTTGCCAGAGAGCCGCCGCATCTGAGAACACCGCCGCCGGTAAGCTTTGGTTTTTCGTAATTTTTTGGCCCCCCGAGGGCCCTAGGGTTTTTTTTATCGCAGGAACCGATGCAAGTATGGCTGAATTCGGCCGGAAACGGCTGAAAACGGCCAACCCGAGGTGAAACACGGCGGAGCCGCCGTGCTAGAATTGCGATATTGGCCAAAAGGGGCCCTGGGCCTAATTTGGGATTTTTTGAAACACGTGCAGGTACCAGTAGTGCGTTTCAGTTCCCCGGAAAAAATTCAGGGAAAATTAGGGACAGCCTGTAGGCGCACTGTGAAGCCGTGTTCGGACCCCGAAACGAGTAAGGACCCCTCACCCTATTTCCTATCACGGTATTAAAGTTCAATAATGATAAAACGAAAATTCTTGAATCAACGAATGTGCGAAATTGCTTAAGGTCGCCAATGGAGCCCGAGTCTAGTGTGTTGGTCGGTTAACTGTTATTTGGCATATTTTACAGTTTTAAATGCAGTATGAGGTCTGATGTTTTCATTTCATTGTTTCGTGTGCGTATTTTACTGTTTTATTGATTATGGGTTGAATGATTGAGAAACCGATGCTGTATGTTGTCTTGTTTGGCATAAATTACTGTTTTGCTCGTTTGTGTGTGAATTGATGATGCTGACTGAGGAAAAGGGGAATGAAAGGTTATGTAAATTATTAATTGTATAATGTGATTAGCCTGACTAGATATCCTGGGAGATGGTGGACGGAACGGGTCCGTAGAGAACCCTACCGGGATTGTGGTCTCTCATACCGGACGGGGTATGGAGACCCTATGTATTTTGGCTCCCATACCGGACGGAGTATGGGGACGGCCCGTTTCACCCTGATACCGGACGGGGTATTGAGGTTTATAGTTTTGGCGCCCATACCGGACGGGGTATGGGGACGGCCCTGGAATCTGATTACAAGTGTTAAGGGTTCACGGGTAGCGGGACCCCTATGGATCCCCATGGATACTAGTAGGCTGGTAAAAGAGGAAAAATATGTTGTATAATGATTGAATTACAAAAGACGTGATAAGTATTATGTTATACAGTTTATATGATTTCATGATGATGATAATGTTACTGCTTTCGTATACGGTTTTATGATTTTCACCGAGGTAAGTGGATGGTAAAGGTTTTATTATTGATAAAAGGATTTGTTATAAATTATGCTCCATTGGTCTTTTTGTGTTTTCTACCCACCTTTACCTCCGTGACGGTGAGATATCGTGATGTCTTTACTGGGCTAGTGTAGCTCATTCCCTTATTTAATCATTTCAGATCAGAAGACATTGTTCCCGAGCCCGTTCCGCAGGAAGACGACGAAGATGACGCCTAAAGACTCCATAGTCATATTCATAGCTTTTACTTTCGAGTTTCTCCTTTAGTTAGTTTAATCTTTTATATTTTGGGCACGTTTTTGATTTTAGTGTAAGGGATGTTAATCGAAATTTTGACTTCGCTTCCGCATTTGACATTTTTAATATACATATTTCATTTTAAAATTTCCGGGGCCGTTACAAATACATCAATATTAACTTGTTATTTTTAAAAATATGAGGATCAAACTATCAATTTCGACCTATAAATTCTTGTTTACTTTATATTATGCAAAGAGAAAAATAATATTCTGAGTATAATAGACCATCAAACACGTTTTTTTACAAATTAAGTTTTGCTAATAGAAATATAAAATTCCTAAATCTATATATGCTTTTATGTTGTGTTAAACATTCACAAAATTAATAAATGAAACATGTGCTGATATGACAAATTACGTCTATAGAAATATTTGAAAAAAAATTAGTTTTGATATGCGAGAACTAACTTGTACGAAAATATTGTTATTATTAATAACAAAAGAAAAAGTTTAATTTATAGAATCTTTTCTTAACCTAAATATAAGATGCATGTTACAATTCACATACAATTCCTTAAATATAATTTCTAGAGGTCATATTAGCAAGATAATGCATCCAACTATACAATCCATGGAATGAACACCAATATTCAATATAACTTCTAAAAATACATATTTAAATTAAACTTTATTTGATATCATACATCCAAAGTCGAACTGATAAATATCAATAAATAGAGTTCCATAAATACGTAAACTCCTTTTATTACATCATTATTAGGACCACGTGCATTATGATAAGAGAAGACCATTTATGGTATATAAGACATTTATTTTGAGGGATTATTATCTATACGTTTATTTTAAGTATTGAAAGTCCATTTTTTCGACTGAAGCTCCTGCACAATATTTTTGTCCAACTGGAATGCCTTGGCAATAACATCGGGCATGATAGAAGGCTTTGATGCAAAGATAGCATTACCTAAGGTGACGACTCCTGGATTTTGGCTGCTAAAAGTAGCAAAGGCAACAGCATTACTTTCTCCAATATTGAATTGAAAGTGAACTAGTCCGAAAGGGAAGACAAAAACATCTCCAGGATAAAGTACTTTTGTAAACAAGGTATTGTTGTTTTGATTGGAGGCAACAAAACCGGCATAAAGAGTTCCCTCTATGACGGTTAGGATTTCAGCAGCTCGAGGATGCATGTGGGGTGGGTTTACACCACCTGGAGCAAAATCTACACGTGCTTGACTTAATCCAAGAGTGTTAAGTCCTGGTATTCTATCAGCTGTAAGTAAATTTACTCTTGTTCCATAAAGTTTTACTGGTTCTCTCGGAATGTTAATTCCTGAAAAGAAGAAATCTTCTACTTTCACGAGCTTTGGATCCTTGCAGAATTTTCCGTTCACAAATACTGCACGAATAATAAACAAATTATTAATTCATATATTTTTGTTAATATAAGAAGTTAAACAAACCACGAACAAATGTTTTCATGCATGCGTGTATATCATATATGGCAAACAAATTTTAAACGTGATTAGGAAGATAATTCATACCACCATCATTGATATTATCAACAGCAACACAGTAGTCCTGAAGAGGACTGGGATCATAAGCAGAAGAAATAGAGGATGCCAGTAATGCGAAGAGAGCAACTAGGGAAATGAACTGAGAACCTTCCATTTTTTTTTTTTTGTTTGTTTGTTCGTAATGTGATGAATATAATCATGCATGGAGACACGAGTGATATATATAGGCGGGGAGGCACATGCACCGTACATATACACACAGACATGACTTGTCAACAAAGCCGGCGTTGCTAATTGTTATTATTTTGTATTTGACGTCGTCGTTTAACAAAATCTTTTGATGAGCAAGTTTGAGACGTATTGTCATTTTTATTTTGATTATAATTATTTAATTATTTGTTAGACACATTCATTTGGATCAATAATAAATAAATTATTGTAGATGGCATTTGACGCCGTTAAAAATAATTTTAAAAAAAAATAAAGAAAGAAGAAAAATTGATTGCTTTTGTGTTAACTTCACTTATAAATGAATTATTTAGTAATTATTAACTGATAATTATAAATTAATATATTATTATTACTGTAATATCAATGTTTTACAGGGTTCATTAGCTTGAAGCCTCCGCAGCCATAAATCTGGCGTGATCCCCCGTGGGATTAAACTCTCTCACTCTTCATACGCCGACTAAGAATTCAGATTTGCTACGTATGCCAATAAACAATTTTGTTATTTTTAATAATAATAAAACAAAAGTATTTTATGTAATAAATATATTCAATTTATTTATTTGAATATTCAAATGTAAAAATAATAATTTATTTTGACGTAAATTCATTCAAACTACAAATACTAAATTAAAATATTTAAAATCTCATCGAAATTAATAAAGACAGCAATTAAATTGAATACTTCATTTTTTTAGTTTTTATTATAAAAGTAGTGATGAAGATATCAGCAACACGCAAAAAGAGATCAAATTAAACAAAAACACTAAGTTTATTAAAATACTGAGATGATAATAATTACCCTTCCTCAGATGTACATTTATATATATAATAATTAAAAGCAGATAACATTGACCGTAGTTAAATTTTTCTGACTAAGGCAGACTTCCATGATAATTGCGTATAAGAATTAAGTAATATGTATATATATATATATATATATATAACTCACAACAAGCATTCATTTAACCCAAATTTTAGAATAATATTTACATAATTTTTAAATAAAACAGTATCTGAATATTTATTCGAAAAAATTCTAAACCATTAAGTAATAACTGAGAAATAGATATATATATATATATATGAAGAAACAAATAAATAAATAAAATAAAGAAGAGATGGAATAGTGAAATGGAGAGTGTAGATTAGATTATGGGAAAAGAAATGGACGGCTAGGATGCGTGCAGATGGGAAGAGGGGATGGACGGTCAGGATGCGCGGTAGGTGGAGTATAACAAGGAAAGGAAAAGAAGAAAAAAAAAAAACAGAGGATAGAAAAAGGGGAGAACGAGAAAGGGAAGAAGGAAACTAGTGATAGAAGATTTGAGAAATAGGGAAGTCGAAGAGGGAAGGAACGAGAAGAGCGAGGGGGAGAAGGAGGAAGGCGACGATGCGAGCTACGGAAATGCAAAAAAATGGAGACCGGAGGTATGGTGAATTTAAATTTCAAACATAGGTAATGTGAATTCAATCTTTCAAACTTTGAAATGGCAGTTGAGGTTCTATGATGTAGTTGAGATAGTGTAAGAAATTGAAGAGGAAATCGGTGCCTGACGAAATAA